TATAGATTGCTGTACAGTAACGTTGTTTATGAATTTCTACCTCAAAAAATATCACTGAACCGCAGAGGTAGGAATAAGTCACTTTTGTGCAAGTCACAACGAAGTCTGGAGTCAAAAACCTTCGAGTCTCAAGTCAAGTTTATCAGTTTGAACATCTTGCCTTTGTAGTGTATTGAAAAAGGTTGAACATGATTTGAAAATCATTTTATTCTGCTTTTATTTATGTTTAATGCAACGTCCCACCTTCAGTGGAATTGGGTTTGCAGTTCAGGACTGATGCCACTTTATGTTGGGAATTATTCCCAATTGCCAAATTGACTGGTCCAGAAATCACTCTAATTAACTCATTCAGTACCAGCCAATTTGAGGGAAAAATTGTCATTATCATAATTGTCAATAGATTTTTGTTTCGATATTTGCTATCATATCTCAAAACTATGGTCAAGTGGCATGTGATATAAGTGACACTTTGACCCCAATATGTGGTTGAAAAGGTCAACTAAGTGTTGAATAAGATTATGCCTAAATACAGTAAGTTTTGCAATGCTTCACATCTTAGATAATAATCATCCAAAAAATGATTTTTGTCATGTCAATAGTTGTATAGGAGGAAAATGTTCTTGCTTTATTTTCTGTGCTATCAGGACAGACATCTCACAGTACCGAGTGTATCAGGATGGTGTTCTGGAAAAAAGTGTCTCCAGCCTGCTGAACTACAGCAAGTCACTCAGGTGACCTCTCACACAAAAATAAACACTACAAAAGAATGTTGCTTAGTTGAGCTCAGTTTGTTTTTTCCACAAGAAAACTACAGAAGATAATGTATTGAAATAAATAATTGCACCATAGAAGCCCGGACCAGAGCCATCTTAACATAATCTGTTAAATAGGTGTCATTCGTATCATTTGGATTCGCACTTGACACGTTGTCTGTTTTTAGGGCGGTCTCGCAGAAGCCGTCTGCGCCGTGTGTGGAGTGGTCAGACATGGTTTGTTTCTATCTGGGCTGCAGCTTTGGCTTTGAGGGCAGCCTGAAGAAAGCTGGAGTTGTTGTCAGGAATGTGGAGCAAGGCCGCAATGTCAGCATGTACAAGGTGTGAAACAAATGCGTGAAGGTCCTGTCGGTGCATTAACCAATAACGACAGCCTGATAACATGATAAGCCGTCCACTGTAGTGACCGCTGTCCCTGAAAGGGTTAAGTTAATGAAACGCTAAAATGGTCTTTGGGTGTGAGCAATCCTATAAATAAATGGTCATTGCCAATATCATGGTGAAAACTTGTGTTTCCAGACTGCTGTTCCCTGTATTCGAGCTGGTGTTTTCAGTTGCCCTCTCGTGGTGTCCATGCGTCCAATTCCACCTGCCATGCTGGAGGCAGCAGTCCAGGTCACGAGCCTTGACCCCCAAGCACATGGAGCCCCCGTGCACATTGGCGATGGAGGTGCCCAAACACGCTTTTAAAGGAAATTGTCTCTCTCTTTTAAGTATATGTGAACTTTGGTTTTGCATGTTTAGCTTTCCTAGGCATACAGGACCTGTCCCGACCAGATTATGGGGATCAGGTTGAGCTGCAGCCCGGGGATGTTCCAGTCTTCTGGGCCTGTGGAGTGACTGCCATAGAGGCAATCGTCAGCAGCAGTCAGTCTCCCATGTTTGAAAATAGTTTGTACTGTACTATTATTGATCGATCAGCAATGCTTGGACACTGTTACCTTCAACATTATGGAAAATTGTGTCACCTTTAAGGCGATCACATTATTTTCCTAAAATGCCGCGAGTGTACATGTACACACACGCGTATGTAAAACCGAGCCATGGCTTTTTCAAAACATTCAATGACGTGGAGCTTCGTGCCTTGTGAGGACCTGACGCAAGTGTTGTCAGCAAGTAGGAACAAACCAGTGCCTTCATTTGGAAGCAAAAGAACATTCATCATGTTGTTCACCTCATTTCTTCCCCACTTGAGTATTCAGCTTGTGTGGGAGAATCTCAAACCTCAATGTTCCTCTTCTCTTTTTTTTTTTTTTAATTTTCTGTGAATTATTAGAGCAACAACATGAGTACATCATCAGCCCACAAGGCCCCAAGGCCTTTGCGACCGGCTGTAATAATATATTTCACAATCTCGACAGTCTTATTTTTCTTTTCATCGTGATGATTCTTTGATTTGTTTTCCCTAATGATCCCCTAATGACTGTGCTGTTCAAAAAGACCTCATGTTCCTTGGTTTCCAGAGCCATCATTGGCGTTCAGTCACTCACCGGGCTGCATGTTCTTGACTGATGTTCAAGACCCCTCCCTCCTATCCCACGGCCCTGACAGCAAGAAATCGGAAGCCACAGCCCTCTGCTTCCAGATATCTGAAAACCCCTTGTTCTACAGTCTGGCGTCGCAAGGGGCTGTGACACAGATCAGGCAACTGGATGCAATCATCGGCGAAGACCCAGGTACTGTACATGAATACTTGGTGTCCGCTACACAATATCGCAAAAGTACTTGCACAGTACAGTGTGCCTCTTACGTGTGTCTCTTACATGTCTTGAGGTGATTTTTTTTTTCACATTAGAACTTTATAAACAGGATTGATTTTGTTACATCGCGGTTAATGGGGACCGGGACCCTGCCGCGATAAGTGAGAAACCGCGATGGAGCGTTGGCAACCCCCCCGAGGAATTTTTGTGAAGTGTATGTGGGTATGTTTTAAATATGTAAACAGTATTTATACTTTACATATTTGAGGAAAAAGACTAGAGCAGTACACGTATTTACTTAAATCTTTAATCATAAATCCTTATACAGGAATTAACTACTACTAATCTGTATTGGTATGGGGAAAAAAAAAACATAACGGTCACTCTCTTTTACCGAGGCAAAGATCTTAAACTCAAACACTTTCTCTCAGCCATTTAATTTGAATTGTGTAGTTCTTCATTAAAATGTCATGGTGAATAGAAGATTGACCAAAAGAAGAAAATACTGTCCAGCGAGTTGTAAATGTTCTCGGTCTCGGATAAGAACTGTCCTAAAAAGCACTGCCCGACACTGTCATTTGTTGATTGATTGTGTTCTGGGTCGGAGGTGGAGTCTCCCTACACGTCTGAGTGGGCCTCCCCATTGGCAGGAAATGGATCTCACTTTTTTCCAACCTCTGTCAAACAGGTCAACGGGGCATCAAAGCTTTGTTTATTCAAGACGAACTTCTGCGCTCTTGTCTGGCACTCTCACACTCATCCTCTGTTGCCATAACGACAGGCTTCCCAACACACTACATGCACAGGTACAGTACATAAACGTTTCAAAAAGCTCTAGGTGTGTGATATTAGATTAGATTTAGTGCCATAAAGACGAGTTTTACACAGACACACACAAGGTCCTGCGATTTTTGTTGCTCAACCAAGTCAGGCCTCTCTGCACCTGCATCCGTCACATCTGAGCATCCTTTTGACCTGTTTCACCTTCAGTCCTCCTGATGAGACTGATGGCCCACCTGGAGCTATTGCCATGGCAACCATGCTGCTTTCCCTCGGCAAGCAAGTTACAATGGTGACGGACAGGAGAGCCTTGGAGATGAATCAGGCCATCATTGATGAAGCTGTGAGGACAGGTAGGAGTTTTGTGCTCAGTTTATTTCAATTTTTTAACATCTGAATGTGCATACGGTTTTTAAATGTATTTACTTATTTATTTTTTTATTTTGAATTTACTTTTCTTTGGCTACACAACCAAAGGCAAGTGTTACAAGTGTGTCATGCAGGTGTAGCTACCACAAGTGCAGCTACTCCGTGTCACCCTTCTAGTAAGATGTCAAAGAACAAATAAATCAACGTCTCGCATATACATCAAATTATCCAAATCTTTTCAATTTAGGGTGCACCTTAGGTTGCAGTGAGATTGGCAACGGTAAACTCTTTTTAGAGTAAAGTGAAACCCCCCAGCAGAAATAAGACACGCTGGCAGACATTTATCAAAAGTATATTGTGTAAATATTTACACAAAGAGTCACCGGGAAACAAAACTGTCAATAAATAACTCTTTTGACAAAAAAATTCTCCAACTCTGAACAAGAATAAAAAAATAAATAAATAAAAAAGAACAAGGAAAAAACACACAAGTTGACTGTATGTCTAATACTCTCAGAGTCCCCCTCAATGCTGAGGGCATTCAAATCAAATTTTCGCAATATAAATTCTAGTTCAAGTTTGTTATCAGTTCCTATCAACGTTGGTATCAGATCTGACCCCTTGTGACGATAAGCAGATTAGAAAAGAGATGGATGTGTATGTGTGTATAATATTGAAATTTGAATGTTAATTTTTGTGGAAAAATTCTCCAAATGTTTTTGCACTTGATGTTGGTTTACTGTTGAGCTGTTTTGTGCCGTCCTTGAAAGGTAATCTTTGTCCAAGCGGGCTTTGACATTTTGAGGTCTGAAAGTAAAACCTAATTGTAAATCAGTGTGGTGATCTTGTCGTTGAATAGTGGGTCTTTTAAACATGCATTGAGAAATGTTTCATGAAAAATGAAATACATTAAGAATTTTATTTTTTTTATTTTTTTATTTTTTGGTCACACATCTGGTTAGGAAATGCGTGGTCCGATGGTGGGGATAATGTCTGCTTGTTGGTGTTGATGAAGGTGGCACCAGGTGCTCATCCGCTTGCCATGTCTAAATGCGATCATCGAGGTGTTGTTATTCAGACCATGAAGAATAGCATACATGTGATGATTTATAATACAGTGGACCCCAGCAAACCAGCAATTCAGCAGCTGCGGATTCCCCTATTCGCACATTTTTTTTTCCCAATAGTTTACAAATGCTGCGATTGGCTGGCAACCGATTCAGGGTGTCCCCTGCCTACTGCCCGAAGACAGCTGGGATAGGCTCCAGGACCCCCCGCGACCCTAGTGAGGATCAAGCGGTTCAGAAAATGGATGGATGGATGGATAGTTTAAAAATGTGTAAATTCTTATCAGTTTGGGGGTAGGGTTGCTTTTTTGGGAGGGGGTGATCTCCTTTTTGGTTGAGCACTGCTTTTTCAAGATTTTGGGGCATTATATTTTTATTTTATTTTTCTCCATTCACTGCATTTATAAATGGCATCAATTATATGCAGATTTTCATTATTCGTGGGCCAGCCCAGTCCCTACCCCCCACAAATAGACAGGTTCCACTGTGCAGTAGAAGGAAAAAAAATTTTTTGACACAATGGCTTTAGTCTGGATGCATTCAGTTCACACAACATTAAGGACTTTCTTTTTCCCTCCTCAGGTGTACTGAAATCAACCATTCCACTGGTGGTCTTCGAAGACATTGGTCCGAACTCTTCACTTCACTTTTTGTGTCACCATGGAGATCCCACTAAACCAAGGTCTGTAAAGCTGCCTTTGTGCACCGAAGCATGTAATCTGAATGGCACGTAGTCAGGTATTCGTGCACTTCCATTTTCTGTGGCGGGAGAGTTGTTCATTAACATTTGTGTGATTGTTGCTGTCACAGAACCATGACTGTTATTTGTGGTAGCAGGTACGACCACCTCGTAGCCATAGAGCGCAGTGGGCGAGCTGAGGATGGAAACTACTACAACATGAGAGCAGTAAACATCAAGCATCTTGTGGATCCAATCGACGACCTGTTTATTGCTGCAAAGAACATTCCAGGAATTACCACTATAGGTAGTCAACACTTTTGGGTTCCGTTTGTAGCTAACAGACGTGACAGGAAGGTAAAAAGTCACGCAGCTGCTAGAAGATTAACTTTTGCTTCAGTAAATTGTCTCCCTTTAATAAACAAACGGACGCCAGGCCTGTCATCCTGGTTGCTCAGCAGATCGTATTCCCTGCAGGAATCGGTGATGGTGGAAATGAGTTGGGGATGGGAAAAGTGAAGGAGAAAGTCAAGAGTCTGATGCCAAAGGGGGATCTGATAGCCTGTGACGTGCCTGCTGACTACGCTATCACTGCAGGTTTGGATGACCAAACATCCTTGTGTTGCAAAATAACCATGAATGGATCCCCTTTTCATTTTCAAACACCCATTTCTTCACTGCCGTGAAGCAGAGTTGGAGTAATGACAGATCATTTCTTTTTTTTTTCACCCCTTCATAGCCTGACATGGTTTATTTGTACAACTACATAAGCGGCAGTCGGAGCATACGTATTTCCAATTCAAACAGTGTCACAAAAATTGTTCCTTGAGAGTAACAGAATGCTCCATTTTGATTAACGCTGGCAGCAAAGATGTTAATGACACAATCGGTTTGTTATTTTGGGTGTCGACATTGTGGGAGGGGCCAAATAACAGAAACGACTCTCCCTATGATGTGACACCGTGGATGATTGAGCGTTACTCACAGAATGCTTTTTATGAAAAAGTTTAGGATTGATGGTGGCTTGTATCATTTTTTCCTCTCTATGCCACTTGCAGGGGTTTCCAACTGGGGGGGGTACGCAGTGGCTTGTGGCCTCTACCTGCTCAACACCTGTCCCGTACATAAGCGATATCTAAACAAAGGCCTGGGAATGGATCACCAAACCCCAGAAGAGCTGCAAGATTGGATTGCTAATTTGCCGTCCGTGAAGAAGGTGAAACATATCCGATTATTGGAATATCTACCTGAAGGTTTCTCACTGTGTAAATGTTGATCTCTAGGAGGAGTCTATCTTGTCAACTCTTGTGCGTTTCGGCATTCGAAGTGGGAAAACGGCTCATCTGGCCATGGAGGTGGATGGTTTGACCTTTCATCCCACGCACTCTGACATCATCACCAGACTGCTCAAAGTCACTCACGGCTCAGCTGATTGTAAGAGTTGATTGCAAGTTTGATTTGTGTGTTGCTATTGGCTAAAACAAATGTTCAAAACGATTTGTCTTTCATTGTGTGTTGCTATTGGCTAAAACAAATGTTCAAAAATGTTTTACATTGTATCTTTTGCTGCTTTATGACACGTTTGAATAATTGCATCCATGTGACTTGTTGACCTTAGAGACAACTCGTGCCTCCATTGGAGTGGTGAAGCAGGAAGACGTCCTCTAATTCGGAAGAGTCCAAATCTTCATCCATCTTCTTTTAATCATTTCGAATCATGTGTTGTTGACTTAAAAAATTAAAATATACAGTAGAGCTTAACTCACATTTCTTTGTTTTCTTGAATCAGTCTCAAATTTGAATCACTAAGTAAGGCCTAATCAGGAAGTGTACAGACATTTCTCCGGGTATGGTACAGTCCTGTTGAGTGCATAATCTGATGCATGCATGGATTAATATTTTGGGGTTTTTGGTTTATAACAAATGAAGTAATGTCATCTCTCGTGATACACTTAATAACAGTAGGAATCCATTTTGTGATGTTTTCCATCCACAGACACAGCATTTACTTTGATAAAACATTTTTAAAAAGTAACACCCATATGCTCGTATCAATCAAAACAAAGCATTTTTAACTTTCTAAAGGCAGCGCTTTGGATCTATTGCTTTGAGTGGGAACCAGTAAATTGTGCATTTGCACTCATGTTTTGGTCTCAGTCTATACAGTTGTGTGAGAAAAGACGAAAGTCTGGCATGTGTGCAGACCTTTTTGGGTGACAGGTGCTCAAACAAACAAAAAAAAACCTTAACTCCTTAATTTTTTAAACTGAATGTGTCTGACGTTTTGGCAATACATCACAAATCATAATTTGGAGATTATGAATTTGCTGCATCATGATGTGAAATGTCATGCATAATCATTAAACTAGTTTTCATAAAGAAATGTGTCATGATGAAAAGAAAACGATCTGTTTCATCTCATCTACCATGTCAACTTGAACGGGAAGTGGGATTGTTTTATTTTTTTTAACATACCATAGTTTGAAAGACTACGGGCAGCATTGAAAATAACCCCCCCCCCCCACCACCACCACCACCACACCCTCACCCACTGTATGTTATTTGGGTGGGTGAAACTGAAAAAATGAATTACACTGCGCTGCATTTGTAATGAAAATGACCACAAAAAAAAAAAATCCCATTTCCATTCATGGTCCTCAGTGGAATTCACACACACTCTTCCAATCTGCTGTAATAACACATACGCAACAAAAAGGCAATGTGTTCTGCAAACAGACACACACAGGCATACATATTTATACGGAGTATGTTTTTTTTTTTTTTTATCACTGCATATTCCAAGATCACATTTGAAACAATATTACATACAAACCATTCACACAACTCCGAGTTACCGGGGAAATGAAGAACATCAAGCAAATAACGTGCAGAATAGGCTTTTTGACATATGAGTTTGGACAGTTTGGCTGTTGTGGTCCACATACTGTCTGGCACAAAACAGACTGGATGAAGTGTGTCGTGACCCCGAGTAATGTGTGGTGATCTGAGGAATTGGATTTTGAGACATACATGGCAATGGCGAGTGATGAAAAAAGCGGAAGGGGCGTGGCCTGGACGGGGCGTGGCCTGGACGGGGGCGTGGTTACTTACAAAAGTGGCACTAAACATGCTGAAGATGAAGTGTATTAAATTTACACAGTTTGAAAATTGAACAGAAAAAAATCCCAAGATCGCCACTATTCTTTCAAGTGAAAATTTGTGCAATTTTGCCTATGCATTCCTGGTGAGCACCAATATGTAACTCCAAATTTGCTGCTAAAAATAAAAACAAAAAAAGAAAACACCAAATAAATGTTATCATGCTGTTGCTACAAATGCATACCAAATAAAATTGAAAATATCATCCTCGTATATTTGAATAAAAAAAGTATATACCTCGGAGTGTACCTGTCTATCGGCGAGGGGCGTCAGTGGAGCAGATTTCGTTGCTTGGTTCAGCCAAAGTACCCTAGCGCGTAACGTCTTTAGTTGTATCCGCTGACGAAGTTTGATTGAAAAATGCCGATCCCAAAGGATAATTGCTCCGTCGAATGGCGATTTTGTCGGCATGTTTTTTCACTTTTGTTGCATGATCTGTCAGTGCAACGCATCCACGTGAGCCATAGTTAATTAAGTCACTACAATACACACAATAAGCTTTGCCTGCTACGTCAAAGCTTATTGTCCAAGAGCTTCTGTAACTTCGTCGAACTTGGAACCAATTTTAACCTTTACAGTGACTTTTCTGTCAAGCCAGTCCTATCGGAATTTATTCTTGACATTTGAGTCAATTTCTAGGATTAAAGACTCCTGATCTTTCGTCAAAAATTTCATAATTCCGCTCAAAACGATCCCAGAACAATGAATTTGCGAGACGAACAGGCCGCCATGAATCAGGTAAAACAATATGTTACATGCAATTTGATTGGTCCAATCGCTTGTAGTTAACCAATCGCTGGGCCGTTTATAATCGAGCTAAGACTCCCGGAACAAATAATGCCTTCAGTGATCTGATTAGTTGAAGCTTTCATACACGTCCAATCGCAGGGCTGTTTACAAACGGAAAACGGAGAGACTGTTCGGGAGAGCTCGTGAAAACTCGACGATAAGGTACCTGACCGCCCCTAAAATTTTCTCAACGGATTTAGGCGATTCACAAAAATGATCAATTTAAGAAATAAAACGGCGGATTTCCGCGGATCCGCGGAAAATTGCCATGTATGTTGAGAGCATTATGATGATGTCATTCATCCAGTTTTGACTGTATATGTATTCATGATTCATACTCAGTCGATCAATGTGGGCTGAAATGGTTTACCAGTGCTTCACAGTGTGGTTGGGGAGTGGTTCCAACTAATGACAGCCACACGCTTTCTAAGTCTGTGTCAAACTTTTTTCAACCTAAATTTGGAAAAGACAAATGCTGTGACCTTGTGATTAAAAAATGTGTGTGATTTACACAACAACAGCATTTCTTTGCTCATGAGGAAATGCATTCGAGGGGGCAAGAAAGAACTCGAATAACAAATGTGCTTCGTTGCTATCTTTATTTTGATTTATTTACATAAAATTTGAAAACGATAACATTCTCATGTGCTAAATATAGCTTGAATTGAAACAGTCATCCATATCTATAACGCTTGTCCTCATTACTCACACTTAACTGGATCTGCCGTGATCTTTTTCTGGTGGTATGAACCATGAACCTTTGTATGGGAACTAATTTTAAAAATGATAGAAGTGAAAAGCAGTGAAATGCGTCATAAAAATAAAATACACCCAAAACAGAAAACGCATTCAGCACACTTTGGTACTGATCCTTCTGACTGGCTGCTCCTCTCCTCTTCTTTTCAACTTTGACCATGTCATGACCCAAATTTAATGTGACTTCCTGCTGAATGACAGCAATATCTTCCAAGATTAATACACGTGCGCGCACACACACACACACACACACACACACACACTCGGATGCTGACAACCCGTCCGTCCGGAGGCGAGATGCACCCTCACACACATATTGAGCGTCATCACTTTTCAGCTCCTCAGCTGTTTATTTACAAACACACACATTGGCGAACCTCCAGAGGAAGGATTCAGTTCTACAAACAAATAAACTGACAAGCAAAGATTACTTTAATTTTCCAAATTCACCCACCCGCCCACTGTTTAATTAATTTTTCTCAAATAATAAATAATCTCTTTAGCCAACTACAACACTGCCATAAATATTCTTTCTTCAGCCTGAACTGTGCTCAAGCACAGGAGTAATGCTCACTGTTTTCACAAGTCTAAGACTTTTGCAAATTGTGATTTAGATATACATGTTTATATCTAAGAATACATTAAAATAGACAGAAATTAAGAACACTAATTAGGATATTTCATTTCTTTTTGTGGCAGTTGAAAATTTTACGGGATCTTCTGCGCTGCCGAGAAGTCAAAATGTATGTTAAGATGCCCGTCAGCCCTTAATTGTCCTCCCTCCTGTCAGAATATGATAGATAGATATTTGATATTTGTTAGCTGCCAGGGCAGGCACCAATGAGGGTGTTGCCTCCGTAGCAAAGTCATTTCTATTCATTGGGTGAAAACTCGCTTCGGTTTTCGTCTCCCTCCCCCCATCGCTGTTACGAACGTGGTGCTAGAGGAACCCATAAAGCAGGCAGGAGGAAGGAGCAAGGTGAACCTGACAAAATGCATTAATTAAACAATAAGAACACTGAATCCAAATCAAACAAAAGTCCTGAAACCAACAAGAATACAAAGTAACAAACACAACCGCATGGCAGACGCAAAAACAAGGTGAAAGCAATACAAACAAAAATCCATGGCAGTCAGGCACAAACACTAACCAACAGAAGCAGTGACGGCAACAGAAACAATGAGTCCTTTTCACAGAAAACCTACTCATGACATGATGACCAACAGGTGTGCCACTGTAGGAGGAGCCCTACAAAGCCACCTGTTGGTCTCAAACAGATCAATCGTGACACCCTCATTTTCCCCTACTCTCCCTGCAATCGACTTGGGACCAGTGCGCCGGGCTACTAGTCAACCCCTGAGAGAGAGAGTGTTCAATAACCTACCATGCATGGGAAATTTGAGCACCCGTCCTACCCAGTCGACCACCGTACCGCCTGCAGAAAAGTGTTTGCCCATAATTATATCCGCATTTCCATATTTAGGCAAAAAAAAAAAAAAAAAATCTAAAAAGATGCGGTGACATTACCAGATGGACTTCTGATTGGACGGTATCACTTTGCATCAAAACCAATCTCGTATAACATTCCCCACCTCTGGCCAAATATCTGTCCTGTCAAACAGTGCGGATTTTTACTACCAGTGTAAATTTTGTGCATCGCACATACATTTATTTTGCAAACAAAAGTTTTACATGTCGATCCAAAGTACATCGCATAAAACCCAACAGCGTTTAAGCAGTTACTGTAAACAACTGTTTACTGTAATGGTGGTCTTCCCTCATCGACATAAATGTAAATAAATTAAGAAACAATTACACAAGCCTACAAGTGACTGAACATAAATCATTCATCTGAAGTAATATTGCATATCTTTTCAATGACATCTTTGAACTGGTTTAATTTAGTTTTGGAATGCAGACTGATCCTGATTTTAAGGAATCTAAATAGATGAATGCTAAACATCCATCCATCCATTTTCTGATTTATCTTATCCTCACAAAGGTCAATTCTAAATATGATTTAAATATAATGAAAATAAACTATGCCATGATTCAGTTGAGTGTTGGAGTTTGTCAGTTTAATTGTTCAGCAACGCCAGTGGAAGAGCTTGGATGGATTGTATACAAGCAATACTTTGCACTCTACATTATTCACGACTTTGCCTTAGCCGGTGGCAAGGGGGCTGACAGCCAAAATGAAACCAAGAGGGAGTAGCTTTGTTTTGGTGGGGAAAAGTTTTCCACCATGTTTGTCATACACGTAGTCGTGGTCAATAATAGCTTAAAGATGCCCGTTGCCCGAAAGACACTGTATAGTAGTTTGCTGCGTTTGCTCATGGTAGTTAGCATGAGTGTTGATCGACATCGCAAGGCTTGTTGGAACGCTTTAGTCCAATGATCAACCTTCCTTTCGGCATGCCACAACTGCCAAAACGATGCAAAGAAACAACGATAGCAACAATTTGACTCTGGAACTCATTATTTTGATTGTTGTTTTATGATCAGCCTTGGATGCGTCACTCTTCCATTGAACTTA